GAGGTGAATTAAATGCTTCGATCATAGCATGAGTAGCAGACCGAGCTCAGGTCCCTGGACGAGGAAGAAAGAAGCTGTTGGCCGTAGCAACATACACGCGCGGGCAGAGCTCACAGCTCGCTCTGAGTCTCAAGATGTTCGATCTCGAAATTTCCCGATAAAGCACAAGCGGCTGCACAGCGACATTTCTTTCTCGACCATTCTCGAGTAGGAGACCGAGCCCAAATCTCTCGAGGTTGTGCACCGAGCCTTTCGAGTCTGCTGAATCGTCTCGTGCAATCGAGAGCTCTGCAGCTGCTCTTTAATATCGAGAACAACTCCGCCAACCGAACGCGCGCTTGAAAGTGCGGTCCCAGGGCGAGCTGCCGTCGGATCAAGCTGAGATCAAGATGGCGAACAGACATGATATCGATGTTGTCCAGGAGAAATTTCCCATCCCCAACGAATGGCCAAACATCTTCCAACAGATGCTCCAACAAGGAAACAGTACCAACATTGTCCGTCGATGTTTTTGGGCTCAACTAAACCAAAAATGACAGCGAGAAAGAGCTTAGGACTCTTCCCAGTCTCGCAAGCAAGTTGCAGGATCACAAGCAAGCTGGGGAGGGCCCGACTTTTGCCCTCATGCCGGCACCCACCGATGGGCTCGACCCCATTATCAAAGCCACTTGGTTGCCTGTCAAGTTTTTCCTGCTGTGTCTGCATCAATCTTGGATGCCACGACAGGTTCTCGACAAAAGGCTCAGGCAAGTGGATGCCCATCTCAGCCTCCTCGAGTACCCATGGGGATCCATAGCTGGGCCTTTCGCTACCCTTCGGGCTTCTCTACTTAGGGTTGGTATTCGAGCGCGCTCTCTGGAGCTTTCCTGAAGATCGTGTTCTGAATGTCTCTGATGTCCGTCCTTGTTCTGTCAAGCAGCACGTCTTGCGGGCTGTGTACCTGTGGCAGTACGCGAAGATAGCCGAGCATGTTGACGCGCCTGAGTTTAGTGCCGTTGCGTTCCTCGCTCTTATCATTCTTGCTTTTGCGCTCCAAGGCTTTGCCGCAATATCGTTCGTATGTGCGTTCGCAATGGCGAAACAGTGGGAGGCTGGGTACCCTGTTCAGCCACATTGCCTAGCTTGCCAGGCCGCGGGCAGCATGCGAGTTGGTGCATTGTTGCACAGGCATTGCCATGCGCAGGGCAGGCTTTGAACATTGATGAAATGCACGTGTTATGTCAGTCTCTCGGTGATGCCGCCCGCAACGGTGGACTACAGCAGCTGCTCGCCGAGAGACGTTTGATGCTGATGCCGCTCTTGGAGCGTCCCCACTTGTCCGACCTCCCTCCTTTGCGCTGGGTCCACGGGTCCCATCATCGGCTCACTGCTGATCGGCTCACTGGAGATGTTCTCCTTGATGGTTCGATTTTCGGGGGTGCCATGCGACCCTGCCTGGGCCGCTGGGGGCTGGTCTGTCGTTGCACTAGCGAGACGAGCCCAAACCCTCCTCTAGGTCACTGCTTTGATCTGCAGCCCAATCTTGTTTGCCTTTGCCACGATCGATGAAGTAGATAGGAGAGTCCTTTCTAGAGTGTATTAAGCATGCAGCATGTCCTCCTCGAGTCTTGCACACTGATCCCAAATACGTTTTCGACGGACTCATGTCCAGGGGCCAGTTCCACACTACACAGGTGCTGGCCTGCCACTGTTTTTATTGGCGCGAGGTGTGGGCCAGGCTCGAGGATTTAAGGTTTCAACGGTTCGGAATCATGCTCGTCGGTTCGGTTCGTGAAAGTCCCAGCCCACTCCACGCGCGCCGGTGTTAGCTCGGCCAGAGTGTCGGTCAGAGTCCACTTCGGCAGTGATATGGTCGACAAGCACGCCCGATGGGCGACCCAGGCATTCCGAGTGCCGCCGCCGCGGGCCACCGCCATGGCTGCTCGTTCCAAAGTTCTGAAGTTCTGGGTGAAGTGGGTGGACAGGGCGGGGGAAGATCTTCCCGAGTCCTCGCGCCTTCCTTCCCTCCAACGTGGCAGGCCCCCTGTCCCTCAACTCCAGCTTGTGCAGGAGGCCCTTTCCCCAAGACAGTGTTTCTCGCGCATCCAGAGCGTTCTAGGCCCTCCGTGAGAAGGGCGAGCAGCCACATGCTCTGGTGAGTTCCAGTTTGCAGGACGATGTCGTCCTAGTTGGTTGTTTTCGCTGCGGTGTGATCTCGTCATCTCGCCTCTCTAGTCTGTCCAACACCTGCTCTGGGAATTTTCCAGGTTGGGCCAGGAAGATCTGGGCCAGGCTCGGACGAAGCGAATGCGGACGCACGACGGCGGGCACTTCTCGAGTTCTCAGAGAGCTGGCCACTGGGCCCGTACCGCATCTCGTTCGGCGTTTCGCCTTTTCGGTTGCTCGTCGGAGACTCTTCGGCGCGCAAAGTCTTGCCTAGGAGGAGGAGGAGGCGGAGGAGGGAGGAGGAGGAGGGAGGAGGAGGAGGAGGAGGAGAAGGAGGAGAAGGAGGAGGAGGAGGAGGAGGAGGAGGAGGAGGAGGATGGAGGATGAGGAGGGGGGAAGGCAGACGTATACGACGACGTGCGTAAGACGACGTACGACGGCGCCTAAGCCTATGACGACGTGCGGCGACGAGAGTCTGGCCAAGCACCTCGTCCACCAACGATTTCGATCCCGATCTGGCCTGACGCGATCCGGTTCGGCTCTGTCGATGTTGGCCGATTCGATGGCGCAACTTGACTACAAAACAAACGACACCACCCCACCTACGGCCCCGCGGGGCTTAGCGCATACCAGGAGGTCTGGCGCGGGATTTTGCGTGGTAGACGCTGCGGCCCCCGACGGGGGGCCGCAGCGCAACATGGAGGGCCATAGGTGGGGTGGTGTCTTTCATTCTTTGGTCGAGCAACCGATTTTCGGCCGACGCCTGCCGATTCGATGCTCACGACGAGCCGGTTCGGGTCATCGGCCCAGGGTGCTGGGGCCGCCTTGGATCCCCAATCCCCGAACGTGAAGCCAAAGCTGGAAGCCCATGGCCCATGGCCCACATGGCTAAGGGTTCTCCTCCTCCTCCTCCGCCTCCGCCTCCTCTTCCTCCTCCTCCTTTTCCTTTTTCTTCTTCTTCTCCTCCTCCTCCTCCTCCTCCTCCTCCTCCTCCTCCTCCTCCTCCTCCTTCTCCTCCTCCGCCTCCTCCTCCTCCTCCCCGAGAGGCAAGGATGCAAGGGTAACCCTTGAAAAGCGACTGGTCCCGAAGTGTGCCGCGGTCTGGCTGTCGCGGATGGTGGGGGAACCTCGGGCGAAGCGCCCAGAACCCTCCCGCGGCCACGCCTGCTGCAGAGGACCCCCAAAAAGCAGCATACGCACAACTTCTCTGAGGTTCGCGCGCTTGGATCGGCCATGGACACGCCTCCCTGGCGCGCGGAGCGCGCCAGGCGCGGCGCCGGAGGCGCCGCGAGGGGGGCCCAGCGCTTGTCCAAGAACTCCGCGCGGACCTCCGAGAAATCACGTGCACCATGAATCTATTTTCTCGGAAGCCGTCTTAGCGGGGATTTGCTGTGCTCCTGCTCGTTAACATGTGTCACGCGTGCGGAGCTACGGTGTCAATGCCGCGCTTTCCTGTGGCTTTGCTGCGTTCCTGCTCGCAACGCACACCGCCAGAGGCGGCGGAGAGCTTGAGAGATCCACCTACCAAAAAAGTAACATGAATATGCTCTCGGAAACCGTATTATGGGAGATGGGCAGAACCCTCTTTAGCAAAACGTGGCTTAGAGAAAACGACCTCGGGCCCAAACCTGGCGGGCGCAAACAGCCATTGTGCCACCATAGGGAGCGCCGACGAAGGAGCGGGCGGGCTCCCCTCGCCGCGGCGAGCCTCGGCCACGAGAGGGGCTCGCCGACCCTCCTCCGAGAATCGCCCCGACAGTCGTGGCCCCTCCTGGGCCCCAAAGTGGTCCTCATCTCGGCGCCTCGGCCGCCGCTGTGCTGTTCTTCGATGGCGGCACGACGGGGCGAAGAGTGAAAAGCCTAACGCAGGCGGTGTCGACAGAAGAAGAAACAACGGCATCAACATAAAGTTCCGCGCTGGACCCCGCTTCCTGGCGCGCCGAGCGCCAGGGGCGGCGCCGCGAGGGGGGTCCCAGCGCGGATCCGAGAAACTGGCCTCGGGGTGCGACAGGGAGAAGTTATGCATACGGAAAAAGGAATGGGGTAGGAGGAGGAGGAGGAGGAGGAGGAGGAGGAGAAGGAGGAGGAGGAGGAGGAGGAGGAGGTGAGGAGGAGGAGGAGCAAGATGCGAAGGACAAGGAGGAAGGAAGAGGAGGAGGAGGAGAGAGGAGGCGGAGGATGGGGAGGAGGAAGTGGGATGCGGGGGTGGAGGATGGTGGAGGAGGAGGGGAGGGAGGAGGAGAAGGATAGGAGGGGAGGAGGAGGAGGAGGTAGGAGGGGAGGAGGAAGGGTAGAGAAAGGGGAAGGAGGAAGGAGGAGGAGTGGGAGGAGGAGGAGGAGGAGGAGGGAGGAGGAGGAGAGGGGGAGAGGAGGAGGAGGAGGAAGGCGTGCGGAGGAGGAGGAGGTGAGGTGGAAGGGGTGAGGTAGGGGAGGTGTGGGGAGTTGACAGAAGGTGGAGGTGGTGGAGGTGGGGGGTGGAGGAGGAGGAGGTGGAGGTGGAGGAGGAGGTGGAGGAGGGAGGGGGTGGAGGAGGAGGAGGAGGAGGAGGTAGGGGTAGGGAGTGGAAAGCGGGGAGGGGAGGAGGTGGAGGAGGTTGGAGGTGGCAGGAGGGGAGGAGGGAAGGCGGAGGAGGAGGGTGAGGAGAAGGTAGGGGAGGAGGAATGGGAGGAGAAGGAGGTGGAGGAGGAGGAAGGAGGGTGGTAGGTGGAGGGGGGAGGAGGAGGGAGGAGGAGGAGGAGGAGGAGGAGGAGGAGGAGGAGCGAGGAGGAGGAGGAGGAGGAGGCGGAGAACCAGAGTGAACCCAATGTGCGTCAGCAGTACTACAATATACCCTCCCGTCGCGCCCGCGGGGCGGCCTGCAGGATGCGGCCCGGGGCGGGGGGCGTGCCCGGGTCGAAGCGCGGGGTGGCGTCCAGCAGCAAGTCGGCGGCCGCGGGGGGCACCTGCAGGCGGTAGACCTTGCGGGCGGGCCCGCGGAGGGGGGCCGCCCCCTCCGGGGGGGCCCCTCGGGGAGGCCCTCGGGGAGCCTCGGGGAGGCCCTCGGGGTGGCGTGTGCCCCTCTCCTCTGCCTACTCCTCCTCCTCCCTCCTCCTCCTCTCTCCTCCTCCTCCTCCTCCTCCTCATTCTCCTCTCTCCGCTGCTACTCCGCCCCCCATCCCCCTCCTCCCTCCTCCTCTCCTCTACTCCCTCCTCCTCCCTCCCTCCCTCCTCCTCCTCCTCCTCCTCCCTCCTCCTCCCATCCTCCTCCTCCTCCTCCTCTCCTCCTACTTCCTACTTCCTCCTCCTCTCCCTCCTCCTCCTCCTCCTCCTCCTCCTCTCTCCTCCTCCTCCTTCCTCCTCCTCCCTCCTCCTCCTCTCCTCCTCCTCCTACCTCCTCCTCCCTCCTCCTCCTCCTTCCTCCTCCTCTGGGAACCCGTCGGGCGCCCCCTCGGGGGGAGGCCCTCGGGGTGGGGTGGCCCTCTTGCGCACCCCCTCAGGGGGGGGGGGGGGAGGGCCCTCGGGCGCTCTCCCTCAAGGGGGCCCCTCGGCGGATGTCCGCTCACGCCGTAGGGAAGGGGGGGGGAGAGGGGGACGTGCTCATCCTCCCCGTGTTTCCCCCCCTCCTCCTCCTCCTCCTCCTCCTCCTCCCTCCTCCTCCTCCTCTCCTCTCTCCTCCTCCCTCCTCGTCGTCGTCGTCGTCGTCGTCGTCGTCGTCGTCGTCGTCGTCGTGTCGTCGTCGTCGTCGTCGTCGTGGTCGTCCTCTTCCTCCTCCCTCTCCTCCTCCACCTCCTCCACCTCCTCCCCCTCCTCCTCCTCCTCCTCCTCCTCCTCCTCCTCCTCCTTCATTTCCTCCGTGGTCCAGAGTGGGGGAGAAACAGGAGGAATTGAGCGAAGGGGGGAGGATAAACTGTCTGCGTTCGCGCTGCATCTAACACCCGACCCCTCCCACCCATTCTTTCTCATTGCGCTGGTTTCTTTCTATCCGCCGACCAGGGTGTCTAAGACTACTTTGGCCCCAGAGTGGTCCTATCGTGTGGTGCGCTGTCAGAGGAGAGGGCGTTGGCGTTGTACCTTGGGCGAGGAGCTGGGGGAGGAGGGGGAGGTACCGAGCGATGGAAGCGCGAGTCCGCACTAACGGACCCGCCCCAGCAGCATGAAACACAGAAGCTGCACTGCAAGACATGAGACTCGCTGCAACGCACAGCTCTTCCTCAACAGCCGCGTCCCCACCTCATCGGCCAAGCCAACAGATGAGACTAGGCGTCGAAGGTGGCACTGGGAGCAAGAAGCACCGGTGCGAGGATGAAGACCGCGCATCGCACGAGAAATGTGCATTTCCTCGTTGGCGCGAGTGGACGAGACGTCGACCGAATGCCCGATGCATTTGGCCAGCTGCCACTTCTTGTTGCGGCCGCCGGCTACGGAGTAGGTGCCACACGCAAAACAAATGGCCACCTAGCCGAACCTCTCGGCTTCGTGGCCCGGTTCCTTGTACACATCCTCATCCCCGTCGACCCCCCCGACTGCCTCGAGGCGTCCACGACGCCCCCGACGGCCTCGAGGCGTCCACGACGCCCCCGACGGCCTCGACCCCCCCGACGGCCTCGAGGCGTCCTTGTACACATCCACATCCCCGTCGACCCCTGCGACGGCCACTGCATCAGCCCGCTCCCCCTCCACGCGCCCATCCTCGGGGCCGGAGGCGTCCTCGAGGTCACGGGCAGCACGCACGGCCTCGGCAACTGCGGCCGAGGGGTGGCGGAGGGACTCGGGAGTGAGAGTTAAGCACCTGGCCGCCGAGGCACTCTGCAAGGGAGAGGGTGCGCAGGGACGCGCGCGCGCAGCGCCTTCAAGGAGGCAGAGGTCCGAACCCGATGGTTACAGACACGGCAACGATGTTCAGAAAGCCGGTCGCAAACCATGAACTCGTGGGTCTCGAGGGCCAAAACCGGGGCTGGAGGGGGTGCTCGCCTGGGCGCGGGTGCACCAGCGCGCGGCTGGAGCTCATCAGCCCTCCACGCCACAGTACGGGCCATCCATGAAAACACTTGGGCGTCCTTCTGGGCCTCGGCTTAATGTTGCCCGTGGACGTCCTGGAGCACCTGGGCAGCCATATGAGACCTGGCGCCTTCTTTCGCAAAATGATCAGCCCACTCATTGCCAATGAAGTCCAAAAATTCAGCGGACCAGTCGGCTAAGACCTCTTCAACTGAACGATGGGCAGGCACCCGTTGAAACGTGGTTTGCTCGCCTGAGCTACCACTGGCAACACTCATGGACCTCCAGACCGAAGCGTGCCGGGAGCGAGCCGACTCGTTATGGGGCCCCCATGCAGAGCCCCTCTTGACAGCAGACAGATGGTCGGAGACGATGTGCACCGAACATCCTGCCAACTTCACCGCCATCTGGCAAGCGTAGTGTCCAGCCCCAGGTACAGTTTGAACTGGGCCTGGGAGCGCTCCAACAACTGCTCGGAGGATGATCCCCGACGCGTCGAGCTCCACGACCGCCCAACGACATCGAATGAGACCTGGGAGCGAAGAGGCTTTCCCAGACCCGTCCGTGTACACCTTCCGCCCCCACACTCCGCGCCAATCCCCCCACCCAATGACTAGGTGCGAGTTCGCAGGAGCAGCGGGAAAAGGCGGCAAGGGCGGCAGCCCATAGCTAAGATAAAAGGTACCGATTCCGTCGGGCGCGCTGCTGAGATTCGAAACCATGGCCTCCTGATGCTCCATGCTCCAGGACATCATCGGGCGGCCGCTCGTCTTCGGGAACGTCTAAGACCGCTCTAAGACCGCAGGGCACCCAAACCGCTGGTGGGCCTCGGTCCCGGGGCACTGGCGGCAGACAAAGCACTCGGGAGTCGAGCGGAGCTGGATAGAATGTAGACGAACTGGCGTCCGCTCGCCAGCGGCCCAGGCTCCCCTCCTGCTCGCGTCGCGTATTCTGAGCACCGAGCGGCGCGTGGCCCGCCTCCAGCACGACGCCTGCGAACCGTTAGGGAGGTGCTCCAAGATTCGTGCCGCCTGCCATCGGCTAACCCCTTCTTTAAAAACCTGCGCACGTCGCATGGGCAAACCTTGAGGAGATCAACCAACTCCTGTTGGCCCGAGCGGAGAACAATGGAAGAGGCCATGCCCCATTTTACCCGGAGCAAGGACAACCAAACGGCAGAAATCGGCCCTCGGGCACCAGCCCACGAAGCACGGTTATCAAAGCGCTCCTTGATATTGCACCACGCGCGGTGAAGCGGTTGGGCACAATCTTCTCATCCCACAGGAAGGAGGCATACCGCACTACAATGGGAACTGTACAATCGAAAACGGGATCGAATCAATTATCTGGCTGAGAAAGAACTAAACATGTCTTCGGTTTGGCGCCTGCCATCCCATCCCTCCAGCAAACGTCCGAAACTCCCGCAGACCAAAATCCGCGATTCCCGACACGCCGGCACCATGGCCAGCTGCAGGGAGGAGCCCAGTGCGCCAGAGGGTCTTGACGGCTTCGCCCGCAGCACTCTTCAGGCCCCGGATCTTGTGCCTTTGGGCCTGGAGTGTGCGCAACCGGGACTTCTTCTGAATCCTAAGCACACGAGTGCCATGCATCTCGTGGCCCAGGTCACGCATGACCTTCTTGGAACGAAGTCCTAGCGTCTGCACGTGCTTCGCAAACCGAGCACGACCACGAGACGCGTTGGCCACAAAGCCACTCTTGGTGGTCTGGATGATCAAGCCAAGAGGTCTGACGTCATGGCTAAACGCACGCACTAAGCACACCAGAGAACTTATTCATGGGTAACAATTTGTCAATGCTGTGGCCCTTCCATGCTGAAGTCTTTTCAAAGCTTACTCCCATCTTGGACGTTAAACGTCTGATTACAAATTGAGCTTAGCACCTTACGATTTGTTTTGTTCATTCCCATGGAGCCCTTAAGGTATGTCGAGAAAACCAGAAGGACCCCAAGATATGCAGTTCTCAGAAAACAGACTGAAAGTCCAGCAGGATGAAAGTCTCTGCAGCTCCTCCTCCTCCTCCTCCTCCTCCTCCTCCTCCTCCTCCTCCTCCTCCTCCTCCTCCCTCCCTCCCTCCGTCCCTCCGTCCCTCCCTCCCTCCCTCCCTCTCTCCCGCCCTCCCTCCCTCCCTCCTCCCCCTGCCTCCCTCCCTCCCTCCTCCCCGTGGCCTCCTCCTGCAGCACCCCCTCCGCGCCGAAGTCGGGCCACCCCCCGCGGCGCAGGCGCCAAAGCAGCACTGGCGCGCTGAAGTGGCCGCAGATCGCCAGCAGGCCTGCGAGGAGGCCGGGGTCCTCGGCCCTCGAGAGGACGGCTCGTAGTCGTCGTCCTCCTACTCCTGCTCCTGCTCCTCCTCCTCCGCCTCCTCCTCCCTTTCCTCCTCCTCCCCCTCCTCCTCCTCGTCTATCTCGCCCTTTCCGTCGCATCCTCCTTCTATTCCTCCTCATCCTCCTACTTTTTTGACGCTGGGAGAACTTGAGTCTTGGCTGTAGCGTCCACCTCCTCTTCCCCCTCATCGTCGTCCTCATCCTCCTCGAACGTAGTTCAGAAGGAGTGTCCAGACCACGCTGGCTCCTCACGCTGTCGCGCGAGCTGTGGTCTGGCGGCTCTGGCAGACACCTCAACCCAAACCCGAACGCTGCACTGGCCTCCTCCGCCTTCGCCTCTGCCTCCTCCCCCTTTTCCTTCTCATCCTTTTCCTCCTCCTCCGCGCACGCAGAGGGACGATGTTAGAAATTGGGGCATGCAACGCCATCTCGGTGAAACGACCAGCGGCGAGGGAAGAGGAGGAGGAGGAGGAGGTGATGGCGATGATGATGCTGATGCTGGTAATGATGATAATGCTGATGATGGTAATGATGATAATGCAGATGCTGATGATGATGCTGCTGCGGAGGAGGAGGAGGAGGAGGAGGAGGGGCAGGAGGAGGAGGAGGACGAGGAGGAGAAGTAGGAGGAAAGGGAGAAGGAGGAACGGGAGGAGGAGGAGAGGGAGGAGGATAATGAGGAGGACGATGAGAAGGAGCATGACGGAAACGACGAGGAGGATGAGGAGGAGAAGGGCTCGGAGGAGGGGGGTGAAGAACGAGTAGAAGGAGGAGTGGTAGGAAGAACTGGCGGATGAGTGTGATGACGATGAAGATGAGGATGAGGATGAGAATGAGGATGAGGATGATGATGATGAGGATGATGATGATGATGATGCGTCTGCTGCTGATGATGATGTTGATGCTGATGATGATGGTGTGATGCTGATGATGCTGATGATGCTCGTGGTGGTGAAGGCGACGACGATGATACTGATGACACTATGATGATGCGGATGATGCTGGTAACGACGGTGATGACAATGACGATGACGATGACGATGCTGATGACCATGGCGTTGATGATGGTGATGATGACAATGATGATGCTGCTGCTGATGATGACGATTGTGGTGGAGGTGGTGATGATGGGAAGGAGGAGGCGAAGAAGGACCATCGTACGGCTTCGGAAGGGATTCGACTTCGCTCAGGGCGACTCGAGCGCCTGGGCTGCCTGGGTTGCAACCATATCAATCGGGATAGGAGGCTTGAAAACAATGGGGCTCGTCTTAGAGGCCCTTGGGTGTCTCCCCTCTGCAAGGCGCGCGTAGGCGCCTTCTGAAAAGTTGGAAGTGAACCGCTGGAGACAACTCATCTGGAGGCTCTTAACGGTGCACTCTGAGTACTTGCCGCACAACTGACATGCAATAATAAAACTCTCGTTTTCAATCCTGT